AGTGATTTCTCCCCTGGTGAGTCAGAGGCATCTTCATTACCTTGAGATGAAGTGGAATTGTTCCAGAAGTAATGAAAATAGTAAGAAGAAACCTTTCAGACATTCTGATTGCTTTTGGGAATCAAATGAAATGTCTGTAGAAAGAACATTGAATTTGCCAGGACAATAGAATTAAGAGTATACAGGGAGAAGGTGACTCCATCCTTTCTCCTCGTCAAGGGGAGGAAACAGAATGGGGTGTGACCCTTTTGGGGAGACAATTCTTCCATAATTCTCTCACTATTCTGCAAAAGCTTGTGACAACGTTCAATCTGGGCTATATTTTCAAAGATGTCTGTAGAGCAATCAACCTTGAAAGACAGAGAAATTATCTTTCTCTGGGGCAGAGGACAGATTTGTTATGTGACCAGTACCATAAATATAATGTTTCTCTTGGGGCAAAGTTTGGGCATGTTGTGAGTAGCCCCTTGTAAGAGTGGGATTTTCCAAGTTTGGGGTTCCTCAGCTGGGGCACAAGTGCAATATACTTGAACACACCTCTGTGTGGCTCCTGTGATACTTGGGGGATAAGGAGAGCCAATGTGGATGTAAAATCATGCTGTCTGCAGCGCCATGAGTAATAAAGTCTCTTGCCTCAGCCCAAGAGGCTCACATGTCTGACAGCATCTGTGAAACTGTAGAAGGATAGTGTGTGACTTACAAGTAGAGCAGAACTTCACGCCCTAGTTCTTGACTCCCCTAGATCTGGGATAAGGGACAACTGGACATGTCCAGAGAATGGAGTACTCCTCAAAGAGGAACGGAGTCATGGTTGAAAGGCTGTCAGAGACCTATGTAAAGAATTACCATGGGCCCCTTGGGAACCTGGATCACGTGCAAAACATTAATTTTCGTTGGAGGAAACGTGACACTTTTGCTGTTTTCCTAGCAACGGCTCTCAGCCAAGAAGAAAATCACTTACCCAGTGGACATCTAGCAACGGGTGTAGGGAAGTTTGGGTTTTCAGGATAATAGGGCAGGTGTGGGGAAATGACTGATATACAGTGCCTGAGGACCAGGTGTGCTAAACGGTCATACAAGTGGAGACTTGCCCTTTCCCAGCAGCCAACAGTACCACCATCCAGAAACTCTGGTCAGGATGGAGTCAGGCCTTCCATCAACAGCTGCCTTACAACAGCAAGTTTTCCAGCAGAAGACTGTGTGCTCCTGCCCTGAGACTGTGTAGACAGCAGGCAGAGCAGGCAGAGGGAGAAGCCGGCTCCCTGCAGAGCAAGGAGCCCGATGCGAGACTCGATCCCAGGACCCTAGAATCAAGACCTGAGCTGAAGGCAGCCTCTTAACCGATGGAGCCACCCAGGCATCCCTCAAGACATGTTTATTGAACATTTGCTATGTGCACGGCACTGTGCTAGGTCCTAGAGAAATAAAAATGGCTTGGGTATGATCTCTGCTCACAAAGACATCACAACAGTCCAGGGAAAACAGGCACATATACAGCTACTTAAAACAGAACAAATTAGGGGCGCCTGGGTGGCTCAGTCGATTAAGTGTCTGCCTTTACCTCAGGTCATATCCTGGGGTCCTGGGATCATGCCCTGCACTGGACTCTTGCTCAGGGGGAGTTAACTTTTCCCTCTCCTTCTGGTTTGCCCTCCTGCTGGTGTGCACTCTTTCTCTCTCTCTCTTTCTCTCCCTCAGTGAAGAAATAAAATCTTAAAAACAGGACAAATTAAACCAGATGCAGAAATCTATTTTTGCATAAATATTTTATTATTGATATTGAGTATCAATGAGCCACGAAAAAGCTCCAGAAGACTATTGTGGAATATACAGACTAATGTTACTAGGACGCCGATGTTTGCCAGGTAGTACAATGCTCTTTTTGTAGGAATCACAGAGAAAATGATGCAGCTCTCCATAGTCATACAAGAAAAGTAGCTGTCCCAAATGAAAATATGAGAAGCAGAGTGATTCAGCCTGCATTGGTAGGGAGAGAAGATTGGTTGTAAAGGAAGGGAATTCCACCCATTTCTACTCTCCCTTCTTAAGGATGTGTGTGGAGAAAAACTAGAGCTGGAGTGTGGCTAGGATATTCGTGTAGCACAGTGTCCCGCGCTGAATATAGTGGGGGGTGGTATCTCCTGGAGACCCTAGCAACTCCTAGAATCCCAAGTGTTTTTCCTCTCCATTTCCGCTGACCTGTGGATATTTATCACTTCTTCTCCCTTGGTATCAAACTGGGAGGTCTCTCAATAACGTAGGCTGAAAGTGGGGATGCATCTTCTTTTCAGGAAAAAGACAGATTATAAGCCCAAATTTCCATTACATAGAATGAACTATAGTAAAAATGAGCAGAGTCTCTTTCAGATAATTTATTGATAAAAGGTAATTCGCATACATGTCTTAAAGAGAAGCTTAAAAGAAATGTAATTTAGAGGATCCCCATCTCTTCTGCCTGTGGTGTTCTTCTAACTCTTACAAATAAGAGCTCTACGTCGGTGTTTGTGGTTCACAGAACAGAAGAAAAGACTCCAAAAATATGCACATAAATCACATATGTCCCAAAGGTCAATCTATTTATATGTAAATCTGGAAATGTAGAATAAAATCACTATTAATTGACAAATGAGTGGAGGGGGGAAAAGGTTGAGCCATGACCATGATTGAATTTTTCTAAAGAGAAGCTTCATCTGTAGTTTTAAAATTGCCAGACACCTGAAAGACCAAGAAAATGTTATCACGAAATAGAAAGTGAAGATTATGCAAGCAATACAATGACCCTCTTGTTTTTCTTTCTTTTCCTTTTCCTTTCTTTCTTTTTTTTTAAGATTTATTTATTTGAGAGAGAGAGAGAGAGTGCCGTGGGAGGGTCAGAGGGAGACATAAAGAGACTCTTTGCTGAGTGCAGAGCCCAGCCTGGGGCTGGGTCCCACGCCCCTGAGATCTGAGCCAAAACCAAGAGTCGGCTGCTCAACCGACTGAGCCAGCCGGGCGCCCCTGTATTTCTTTTCTAATTGGAGGTGTTAGGACGGGAGCACATGTAATTATGAACTATTCTCCAAATAGAAGCTTAGCTTCTCTTACAAAGTTGAACAATTCCTATTACATTACGATACTACCAACTGGGTGCTTTCTCTGTTTCCTGCCCCTAAACATTACCCCATTCCGTGCTCACATGATGTTATTTATTTGATACTTTCTCTGACACTTTCTGTGAGTTAGAGATCAGTTTCTGCAATTTATAAATGAAGAAACCAAGGCTTCCAACCAACTCGTATGCAATTCTGTCTCATGCTGAAGCAGGCACTGCGGTATTAACAACTGTTCTGTTTTAGTGTCTAATAGCCTAGGGCCTCAGTGGGGATAATAACCAAGGGAACCCTTCATTAACATCCTCCTGTTTATTCTGATTAATTTCTCATTGTGGGAGCTGTCGAGTGCATATGCCACATGGTAAATTGCATTTTCCTGTTAGAATAGCAATCATTATTTTAAAAAGGCATCACATTTAAAAAGGAAATAATAATCAAAACCCTTTCACGTGCACAATAAAGTGCAACATGGTATGCTTCCCCACAATTTCATCTCTATCTTGTGGAAGAATGGGAGTAGATTTTATTTATTTTTTAATTTTTTTAAGATGTATTTATTTATTTATTCGAGAAAGAGAGCAAGAAAGCAACAAGCAGGGGGAGCAGCAGAGGGAGGGGGAGAGAAGTTGAGCAAGGAGCCTGATGCGGGGCTCGAACCCAGGACCCTGGGATCATGACCTGAGCTGAAGGCAGAGGCTTAACTGACTGAGCCACCCAGGCGCCCCTGGGAGTAGATTTTAATTATGATTTAATTCCCTTTTTTATTCAGTCAAATGAAAAGCTAATAGACTCGAATCACAACATATTTACTTGGAATGCACCATACCTGGGTTTTTGTAAATGGTAAATATTTATTTGATAGGAATGCTAAGGTAATATGAACATCAAAACTCAAATCTTAACCATAAATAAATTTCTGGGTTTTTTTTCTATGAGGAAAATGCCATCTTTACTAGTATTTTACTCCCCCCACCCCACCCCGGGTGAGGAAGTACAATTTCAAGTACATGTTTATTACTTTTTTCTAAGAAGAACCATTGTTTTAAACTTTTCTATTAAATCCAACTGCACTGTTTGACATTTTACTTTATATGTGATTTCCCACATAACTTAGCTATATGATCTGGTATGAAAAACGATAGGTAAAAGTGTATAGTATTCCACTGTATTTACAGTGATAATTCAAGGGAAGCCTGTCCGGCTCATTTGGTAGAGCTGGTAACTCTCAACATCAGGGATGTGAGTTCAAGTCCTATGTCGAGCACAGAGATTCCTTTAAAGAAAAAAAAAGTGATAATTCTTTCAATATAGCTCTTCCCAGAAAACTGTGCTTAAAAAATCATAAGCTGTCATTTCTTTCTTTTTTTTTAAATTTTTGTATTTTTTTAACATTTTTTAAAAGATTTTATTTATTTATTTGACAGACAGAGATCACAAGTAGGCAGAGCGGCAGGCAGAGAGAGAGGGGGAAGCAGGCTCCCTGCTGAGCAGAGAGCCCGATACGGGGCTTGATCCCAGGACCCTGGGATCATGACCTGAGTTGAAGGCAGAAGCTCAGCCCACTGAGCCACCCAGGTGCCCCTCTTTTTTTTTTTTTTTTTTAAAGTCCCAACATGAGGCTTGAATTCATGACCCTGAGATGAAGACCTGAGCTGAGATCAAGAGACATCTAACCGAGTCACCCAGGCACCTCAACTATTATTCATTTTTAAAACCAGACCATGAAATACATGAACCAAATCCAAATATTAATAATGATGATTATCATCAGAACTGAGAACATATTCCTTTGAGAAAATAAAAAATCATTTTCTAAATAAATACTTTCAAATCTCTTTTTGACTGAGTTGTATAATTGGACAGATTCTAGGGATAAAGGGATAACTTACCTGTGTTCAGCGGAAACACTCAGCCTTTGACATAATTAGGAAAGGAGTTTTTCTGCTCTTCATAATCTGCAAATGCAGAAGCAAGAAGTTCTGATTGGAAAGAGAGAGGTCTAGGATTCCCATTCATGGAGAAAGTGTTTGGAAACCTCCCAAGATCAAGACCTCTTCCCTTAAAATATGCCTGAAGGGTTCTAAAAAACTGAAGAGAGAAAGAAAGTGTTCAGTGCCATATGTAAATGAAACATCAAAAATACTCAGAGACAGATATTTTTTCCCTCTCTTTTTCCCCTCTGTGAATTGACTTGAGGGCTAATCTAGGATTCAGGAGGTGGAACACCCGGAAATAGAAATACACACTTTGGCTACTTCTCCTCCTTCCCTTCTGATGTGGAAGTCAAAGGCAGAAGAAAAATTATTAAATTTCCTTACTACTTACAGCCCAATGACAAGTCCTTGAAACAGGCAGAGGGACATTCCTCTAGGGAATCAACTGCCTCGATGTTGATATTCTGCTAAGAGCAAAAGGCAATCTTAGCCCAACGCCCATAATTCTGTAAATTACTTTAACATATGAGAATTCCTTTGGAAACTTCCTTTATCTCTACCCCCCAAGATACCTCTTGGCAATCATTCCCCAAGTATATGACCCACCCATACACATCTGAAGGGTCTCATGACTCAGGTTGTATTGGACAGTAATAAATGACCTTTTCCCAATAACAGCTCGCCCTCTCAAGATCCTGGAAACCTCGCTTACAAAGTTTCTTAGAGACTGATGCTGTCCCTAACCCCCTCCCACCTTGAAAGTACATAATGGGCCACTCCTCTTGACCCCGGTGCAGCTCCTTCTGCCCCTGGGTCCTGTCCCTGTGCTTTAATAAAATTACCTTTTTGCACCAAAAACATATCAAGAGGGGCGCCTGGGTGGCTCAGTGGGTTGAGGCCTCTGCCTTCAGCTCAGGTCATGATCTCAGGGTCCTGGGATCAGCCCCGCATCAGGCTCTCTGCTCAGCGGGGAGCCTGCTTCCTCCTCTCTTTCTCTCTCTCTGCCTGCCTCTCTGACTACTTGTAATCTCTACCAAATATATAAACAAAATCTTTAAAAAAAAAAACATATCAAGAATTCTTGGCTGTTGGCTTCAAACTCTGACATTCTTTCCTACATCACCCTCCACTGTCCTTTACCTGCCTTCTTTTTGATATTTCAACGCTAAACAAGATAATTCAACATTCTTGGTAGAGATTGAGAGGAATATCATTTTTTTAACAGCATCATAGATAGAGGGTTTATTGTAAACCACCTCTGAAACACTTAAGTCAGGGATTAAACTGAATTTCACAGTGATCAGAGCTCCATGCCTCCTCTCTGACTGAAGGTGAGATCCCAGGCATTGTTTTCTATGCTAGAACTGTAAGACGTGCATTTTCCAGCTTTCCTTTAGGAAATGGATACATAGAAGGTTGCAAAGGGCTACTTGGTTGTTTTAACCTTATACTGTCATATTTCACATCAGTTTCCTTATGGAAACTGTATTTTGAAATAGGAAAGTTAGCATGTTTATTGCATTTGGCATATTTTTTTAAAGATTTTATTTATTTATTTGACAGAGAGAGAGAGATCACAAGTAGGCAGAGCAGCAGAAAGGAGAGGGGGAAGCAGGCTCCCTGCTGAGCAGAGAGCCTGATAGGGGGCTTGATCCCAGGACTCTGAGATCTTGACCAGAGCCGAAGGCAGAGGCTTTAACCCACTGAGCCATCCAGGTGCCCATATTTGGCATATTTTTAAAAGAGAATTTTTGCTAGTGTTTTGAATTCTTTTTCCTAGATAACTTTTATTGAAAATAATGCGGGGAGGGGGGCTCCTGGCTGGCTCAGTTAGTGGAAAGTGCAACTCTTGGGGTTGTGGGTTCAAGCCCCACATTAGATGTAGAGATTACTTAAAAATAAATCTTCAATAAAAGAAAGAAAATAATGCCTGGTAAATCGATAAGAATGCAGATCAATTTTCAGTTTTTCCAATTGAGCTTTGCATGTATTGGTCATATGAGACTGTTTTATCATCAGTTCAATCTGAACTGTGAAAAAATCAGTTCCCTGCTATGTTCTTGATTTTGTATATCTATGACAAATCCAGGCTATAAGGTCAATGCGTATGTGAGATCATTTACAAATGTAATGTGCTGTATGAGTATAAAATCATCTTTAAATATAAATTTGTTTCTCCTTACAGAAACAGATGTAAATTGGCCAAAGGAACAATAGGGTACCAGCCACTAGGCTAGCAGAGCCCTTGACCAGTCCTGTTAAAGAACCGTCTTGGCACGTGGCAGCCTCCTCTCCACTGCGCTCCAGCAGACTGCAGCACGCATACGTCCAAAGACATGCCAGTTTCACCCTGTAGCCCAGCAGGTCCCAGTGCATGCTCTTACCAGATCTCGGTTTCTGGGGTTGTTGAGTGACTTCCATTTCTCTTTGTTTCTCAACGTGGCTCCATGCACAAGCCCAAGTAGCACCAGGGCAACACACAGCAGCAGGAAGGCTTTGGGCATGATGGAATGCAGCTGAGAAGAAGGAAGGACCAGGGAGAGTCAATGGTTAGAGAGAGAAGACAGAAAGAGAAAGAAACGAAAAAGGAGGAGGAGGGAGAAGAAGAAGGTAAAAGAAGGGAGGGGAGGAGAGAAGGGAGGGCAAAAGTGGAAAAGAGAAAGAGAAAGTATTTTTAAAGAGAGACAAGAAGGAAGAAATGGTATATTTGTTCCCCTGAATTTTGCAGCCCTCTTTTTTTTCTACGTTGATTTGCAGATGAAGAGCCCCCCCAATTCAATTGATTACCTCAAAGGAGTCCATGATGATGAGAATATTATACAGTGATAAGCAAAGCAATTATGATACAACCTAGAAAGTCTGAGTATGCCTTTTCATCTTTGGGAAAAAATGCACTTTTTCATCTCCAGAGAAAGCACAATTCTTAAAAAGCAAAAAGAAAAAACCTTGAATTACTTAAGTGGTAAGACAGCAGTCTTGAAAAATGAAGGAGGAGGAGGAGGAAGAGAAGAAAGAAAAGAAAAATATGAAAAAAAAATGAAGAAGGAGGAGGAAGAAGAGAAGAAAGAAAAGAAAAAATATACCCCAAACTGGGAAAATACTGTACACACAAGTCTGGCACAGACACATAGCACACAGGCATAACCACAGATTTTTTTCCCACCCCAGTGTGTGAAATGGAAATGAAACACACAGGAATGGCTGATGAAACTTACCCGGAGTTGGGTTTTGGCTGGCCCTGGTAGGCTACCCTGTTTACAATCTGCAAAGCAATTCATGGCTACTTATAACCAGTGGACCAGCTGCAAGGGGGAGTCAATGACGTGAGCAGGGGCAATCGAAAAATAATGATTTCATTCTCATGCCTGGCACCAAAGACCCTTGAGATTCACGTCTTCAAGCTTCCTCAGGGTGACAGTGAACTTATATGTCTTATAAATACAGTGGCCACTCCTCTAACCTCTGAACATTTTATGTGGTTTTTTTATGAAACACACAAGGCACTTCTACACAGCAAAGTGGCTTTTTACTTTTTCACTCTTAAGGGAAGGGTATACACAGCAGCTGGCAAATGATGATGATTACCCACCTAATAGAAGGCTCCTTTGGAGATACCAGCTTTTTAAATTAACATCATTTTTGAACAGGAAATTCTATTGCAAGAGATAAAATTGTTCTTTGTGACCTACACCTTATAGTTCTTCTGAGAATCTCAAAAAGCATTACAGGTTTTAAATAGCAGCATGGTTTCTCATAAAAACCCCTTCAAAATAGAGCAAAAAGAGAGCATGTGTTTCTTGGAAAAAAAGAACAGTTGCTATACCCATTCTTGCTGTATAAATGCCATCCTAAGAAAATGGTAGGGTAGAGAAATGGGATTTGAGTTGTGAAGTTGCTTCGGTTGCAATAATTCAGAACAACCCAGGACGAGGTCTTTGTGAGAAGGCTAGTAATCTGGACTAGAAATTAGAATACTCAGCTGTGGTCTGTCTTGCGTATTGACCCTGAGCTAGTCACAATGACCTACAATTGTTCATTCCTTTCTTCATTCATGCAGCAAACTTTTTAAAAAGATTTATTTATTTACTTGAGAGAGAAAGAATGTGAAGTTTGGGTGGGGGGGAGGGGCAGAGGGAGAGGGAGAGGGAATCTCAAGGAGACTCCCCGCTGGGCTGAGCACAGAGCCCGATGTGGGGCTTGATCTCAAGACCCTGAGATCATGCATGACCTGAGCTGAAATCAAGAGTCAAACCTTCATCCAATGAACCACTCAGATTCCCCCGGGGAACAAAATTTTATTGAGTGCCTACTATAGTCCAGGCACTGCTTTGAAGATAAAATGTTAGGAATAATAGGTTCTGCCTTCAATAAATTAATAGATTAGTGGGCAAGACAGAGATAAATCAAATCATTATACAACAAAATGTATAAATACAAATGATGAGAATATCTATGAAGAGAAATTGGGCGCTGTGAGAGGTAGAAGAGGGGGCTTTGATTCCGTCTCAAGAGTCAGGAAAGGCTTCTGTGAAGAAGCGACCTTACATCTGCTAGGTGAGGAGGAGTTACGGAGGCAACCTAGGGAGACAGAGGGCGAGAGTTTCAAACAAGGTGAACAGCTGCGCTAGATTCTGTGGCCGAAAGCAATATGGCACACCAGAGCGACGGAAGATGAATTATTGTGCCGGGAAGAGCGGGAGAGTCTGCTGAGACATGGGGCTGGAGAGGTCGTCAGATTATGATCTGTCTGCTGTGAGCAATGCTGACTGAAGGGTTGTAGTATCCAAGCAGCTTGAACAGACTTGCAGTTTTAAAATACTTTTCTGGTTCCAATAAGGAGGAGAGATTGAGGTAGGAAAGAGGGATGTAGAGGACCAGTTAGATGTCTACTGCAGTGATCCAGGCAGGGAGATGGTAAACGGGATGAGGACGGTAACACAGATGTAAAGACGTGGGAAGACCTGAGAGATATTTAGAAGGTCTGAATGCGACGGACTAAATGCTATGGAAGGCCAAACTGGGCGGAAGAGAATTTCAAGAACAATCCCTGGGTGTTGGGATTATGCCACTGAGTGGACGACAGGGCCATCCTCTGAGATGTCCAACACTGGCGTGGAGGGAAGAAGATCACGAGGTCCACTCTGGACGTGCGTTTGAAGAGCCTTTAAGATCTTCATGAGGTGGAGAGTACCTTGTTGGATACACAGTTCTGGAGCCCAGAGGGGAGATCTGGGGGAAAATGTAAATATGGGAATCGTTAGCATGTAAATGGGTGAGATTACCTCAGCAAAGATTAGAAAATGAGAAGAAAATTCGGCCTAAGACTTGAGTTTTGAGACGTTTTTATTACGTCATCTCTCCTTAAAACTCCCAGAGTTTGAAGTTCAAGTACTTCACGATAGGAAATATGAAACTGTTAATGAGATTACAGCCAAGTCGTTATACTATAAACTCCTTAGACAGTGCTCAACCTTATACTTCCTGTGCCAAGCACACGGAGCCCAACACATAAATGATACATTCTCTAAAATGGGAAAGACGGAGTAAGTAAGGATAGATTTTCACAGCCATTTATCTGTGAATATTTTCTAACTTTATCCCCATGTATATAAAAAACACAGCTCATTTTCTCCCATTTAAGAGCTCCCCATTTATGAAATATTTATAGGCATACCTCAAAGATATTGTGGGTTATGTTCCAGACCTCCCCAATAAAGTGAATACCACAAAAAAGAGAGTCAAACGAATTGTTTGGTTTTCCAGTGCATATAAAAGTTATGGTTGCACTATACTACAGTATAGTAAGTGTGCAAGATCACTGTGTCTAAAAAAAAACAAGGTACATACCGTAATTTAAAAATGCTTTAAAAATGCTTTGTTACTAAAAGAAACAAAAGAAAGCTAACCATCAGTGAGCCAACCTCTTTTTGCCGGTGGAAGGTCTTGCTTTGATGTTGATGGCTGCTGACTGATCAGGGTGGTAGTTGCTGAAGGTTGGGGTGGCTCTGGCAGTTTCTTAAAATAAGATAAGTGAAGTTTATCACATCAATTGACCCTTCCTTTCAGGAACGATTTCTCTGTAGTATGCAATGCCATTTGATAACATTTTACCCACCTCTCAAGTTTTGCCATGAGGTTGCAGCAACTCAATCCCATCTTCAGGCTCCACTTCTAACTCCGGTTCTCATGCTATTTCCACCACATCTGCAGTAATTTCCTCCATTGACATCTTGAACTCCTCAAAGTCATCTGTGAGAGTTGGAATCAACTTCTTCTTCCAAACTCTGTGAATGTTGCCATTTTGACCTCTTCCCATGAATCACAAATATTCTTAATGGGATCTAGAATGGTGAATCCTTTCCAGAAAGTTTTCCATGTATTTTGCCGAGATCCATCAGAGAAATCATAGTCTATGGCAGCTATAGCCTTATGAAATGTCTTTCCTTGACCCGTGGGCTACAGAATGGATGTCATGTTTGTAGGCACGAAAACATTAATCTTATTGTACATCTCTATCAGGGCTCTTGGGAGATCAAGTGCATTGCCAATGAGCAGTAATATTTTCAAAAGAATATTTTTTTCTGAGGAGTGGGTCTCAACAGTGGGCTTAAAGGATTCAGTAAGTCATGTTATAAACAGATGTGCTCCCATCAGGCTTTGTTGTTCCATTTTTGGAGCACAGGCCGAGTAGATTTAGCATAATTTCTAAAGGCTCTGGGATTTCCAGGACGGTCACTGAGCACTGCTTTCATTTACAGTCACCAGCTGTATTAGCTGCTAGCAAGATAGTCAGCCCGTCCTTGCAACTTTGAAAGCAGGCATTGACTTCTAGGATCGAGTTTGAAAGTCCGGATGGCATCTTCTCCCTATGGAAGCCTGTTTTGTCTACATGGAAAATCCGTTGCTTAGTGTGGTCACCTTGATCAGTTATCTTAGCTGGATCTTCTGGACAATCTGCGGTTTCTACATTAACTCTTGCAGCTGTACCTTGCAGTTTGATGTACTAGAGGTGGCTTCTTCCCTAAAACATCACGAAGTCATCTCTGCAAGCTTCGGACTTCTTATTCAGCTCCCTCACCCATCTCAGCCTACATAAAATTGAAGAGAATTAGGGTCCTGCTCTGGATTAGACTTTGGCTTAAGGGCATGTTGTGGCTGGTTTCATCTTCTATCCAGACCACTAAAACTTTCTCCATATCAGTAACAAGGCTATTTTGCTTTCTTATCATTTGTGTGTTCACTGGAGTGATCGTTCTGATTTCCTTTGAGAACTTCTCTTTTGCCTTTACAACTTGGCTAACTGGCACATAGCGTTTGGCCTATCTCAGCTTTCAACATGCCTTCTTCACTAACTTAATCATTTTTTGCTTTTGATTTCTCTTCCTTTCTTCCTTCCCTCTCTCCCTCCCTCCCTTCCCTCTTCCATCCTCCCTTCCTTCCTTCTGGAGAGATAGAGCAAGAGTGAGAGAAAGGGGAGGAGTATAAGGAGAGGGAGAGAGAGACTCTTAGGCAGGCTCCATGCCCAGTGCAGAGCCTGATATGGAGCTGGTTGTGGGGCTTGATCTCACGACCCTGAAATCATGACCTGAGCCAAAAATCAAGAGTCGGTCACTTAACAGACTGGTCACCCAGCCTTTTGATTTAAAGTGAGAAACATGCAACTCTTCCTTTCACTTGAGCACTTAGAAGCCGTTGCAGGTAATTAATTGGCCTAATTTCAATAGAGTGTCTTGTGGAATAGGGAGGCCTGAGGAAAAGGAGAGAGACGGGAGCAGTCAGAGCACACACAACATTTATTGAATTTTCTGTCTTAAATGGCTGTGGTTCATGGTGCCCCAAAACAATTACACGGTAACATCAAAGGTCACTGATCACAGATCACCGTAACAGATATAATAATAATGAAAAAGTTTGAAATGTTGTGAGAATTACCAAAATGTGACTCAAAGACATGAAGTGAACAAATGTGTCAGGAAAATGGTGCCGACAGACTAGCTAGATGCAAGGTTGACGCGCACCTTCGGTTTATAAAAAATGCAGTATCTGTTAATACAGTGGAAGAAAGTTTGCCTGTACAGTTTCTCCACAGAGCCACAGACGAACGGTGACACACACCTTATCTGTTCACTGAGACTGCGGCTCCCCTGACTGTTGAAAGAAACTATATATTTAAATAAAACAAGTGTTCTAAATTCTTCTAATTTTTTATTAATCTTAAATTTCTGTTTTAAAGAGCAGAATGGATTATTGACAAAGCTGATGATGACATTTTCTTCAG